ATCCCTGAGGGCAGGGACTTCTCTTCCCTTATCAGCCCTGCCAGCCCAGATCTGAGAGCACACAGGTGGTGTGCTCTGACTGGCGGGATGACCAGTGTCCAATTCCCTGCCCATCCACCTGTGATGCAATGAGTTAAGGAGCCTGCAAAGGTCATCTGAGGTTTGGATGGGCCCTCCATTGTCTGTTATGGCTGCTGATCCATTCCTGGAATGTCAGGCTGGCTGGAGAACAGAGCAGGAACTAACCCCAAGGCTCACAAACCCTCCACATGTGCGTGACCTTTCAGGCTTTCTGCCCCTGACCTAGAGTATTTCTACATCCCAAACCCTCACAGTCTCTCCAGGAGCCCCAGAGGGACTAAGCTGGAAGGAAAAGGGGTCGACAGACCAGAGGGGACAGTCCTGACTCCAGGATACCTACCATTCAATTTCTCAGTGTTCCTGTTCACCAGTCATGGACACGAAGCAACACAACGATGTTTTTTTTTTTCCCCCTAGAAATTCCGGCCTAGGCCACTGCCCCCTGGAGGTCCAGGCTGCAGAAGCCTTTGGGGCCTCCACCCTGCCCCAGCACCCCACTGTCCCCAGCCAGTGCTCACATGAAGTCCTGAAAGAGGCCACACAGAGGCTGTCACAGGGTCTGTCACACTCCAAGACCCAAGCCCTTTACCTCTGCTTCTCCAGTCGTTCTCTTTCTCTGGTTTTCCTCCAAAGGCCCTGAGTCTGGGAGGCAGCGTGACTCACAGCAAGAACCAGGACTTGCAGCCAGCCAGATCTTCCCCACTTAAAAGCTGTGGGACCTTGAGAAAGTGAAGTGATGCTTTTGAGCCTCAGTCAGTTCATCTGTCAAATCGGATAATACTCTCCTTTAGGAATTGCTATGAGGATTACATCATAAATGGTAGCTGTGACTTCACAGGGCGTGGTTTCTGAACAGTACTTCCTTCAGGTGCTCTGTGGTAGGGGGGCCACGCATCCTGGTTTTCCCAGGACAGTCCCACTTGATGCCTATTGTCCTGGCATATTTACTGCCCCTTTTCATTCTCAGAAGAGCCCGCCTTCAACAACAAGATGCATGGTCAGCCTACCTGCACCTCTCTCCATTCTCAGCTCAGCTCCAGCCTATGTGAGCAGCTTTATAACACATTCTCCTTTCCCTTCTAAGAGGCCATGGCTTGGTATGCAGTTGGGAGGATTTTTATTTCCTTCTCTCTGAGCTTCAGGTTATTATTATTATTATTTTTAATAAGGATAGCAATGCCTGTCTTGAAGGCTGCTAGAGGATGAAATGAGATAAGGTAAGCAAAGCACGTGTCTGGCACAGGTCAGGCGCTAGATAAACATGAGCACCCTTCTATGGCCTTCCCTCCCTGGTTCCCATCATGCCAGCTTCCCCTCCTCCCCCCACTGTGGGGCTCCAGAGCTCAACTCCGCTACCAAAGAGAGTGGTTTTCAGAAGCTCCCAGTGACATATGAGCCCCCAAGCCCTGATCTCTCCCCCAAAATAAGAAATGATCTTCACCTCCACCCCCAAGCTCCCTGCAGGCCCTGAGGAGCATTCCAGCCTCTCCTTCCTGCGTGCATCCACGTGTTTCTATGGGTGGCTTCCAAGCCAATCGCTATAGCCGGAAACCCTTCAGCCCTCATCTACCTTGCCCACACAAACAGAAGGCACCTTTGAACTCTACCCCCCCTACTTTTCCAGGAATCCAGAGGCCCCAGAAGGAGTCTGCAGGGCCTCCAGTCCCAGTGACCTGCTATCTGGGCCAGCAGGCAAACAGTAACCATGTCATTGCAGCAGATAAAGCTGCCATGAGGCCAGCCTGTTACAGCAAGTAACTGGCATGCTCCTAGATCACACCTGGATCAGCAGCTGTCCTCCAAAGACCCGGAAGTTCTCATCTCCCATCTGGCCCTTGCCCTCACAGCCGCCTACTGTGATACCACTGGCATTCCTTTGCTATTAGACAGCTAGCAGCTCTCCTGACCTGCTCCTTCCCCTTGCCTTGCCCCAGGCAGCACCAAGCCTGCCTCGAATATTATGGAATATTTGGTTCCACCAGGAAGCTCTTGATGTAAACAAACTGTCAGTCACTGGGAGCTGACTCTAGGGCTCTTTGTTCAGAGGCAGTTGCGTGACATTTCGGATTTTCGTGCTGCCCAAGAAACCACAGTGTATGTATAAGGGAAGCTACAGGATGGGAAATGTAAAGAAGCAGCTGCTAAATTGGGACTGAAAAAGGGTATCTGGTGGTGGTGGTGTGTGGTGGAGGGGGTGTTTCCACAGGTCCCAGGGAGGTAAATGCTAATGAGGATGGAAGTTCCGTTCTGCAGCCTATTTGCAGGTGGCTTCAGGGAAGAAAGAGAAACTGGCTGGGTGACCTTCACTTTGCCATCTATAAAATGGAATTAAATATACTAGTTGATTCTATTATGAGGCTTTGTGTTTAGAGTTCAATGAAACTCTCAGCAGTATAAGGACCACACAATGCATACACATAACCCAGATACAATCCAGGGCTTCATACGGCTCAATCCTGTAACGTCAACACACCAGAGAAGCACACACTGACAAAGAAATTTAAAGTATTCTGGTGATTTCCAGTGGGAAAAGTGGGAAGGGAAAAGACAGGGACAGGGGATGAGGAGATGCAAACTGAAACTGTAACTCAGATTGGGACTTGGACTCATGGGTCTTTTAACTGAGATCACTCCTCGTCTCAGGACTTAAATTCATGATGTCTCATCACAGAAAGGATTCAGTGAGAGACAAAGTGATAGGTAAGAAGTATTTAGAGAGAAACACACTCTACAGAGTGTGGGCCATCTCGGAAGGTGAGAGCAGCACCAGGATATAGGGTTTTTTATAGGGGTGGGTAATTTTATAGGCTAATGAGTGGGAGGAATATTCCAGCTATTTGGGGGAAGGGGTAGGAGTTTCCAGGAATTGGGCCACTGCCTACTTTTGACCTTTGTGGTTGGCCTTACAACTGTCATGGCCCCTGTGGCTGTGTCATGTAGCATGCTAATGTGTTACAATGAGCTTAAACTGAGGCTCAAGGTCTACTGGAAGTTGAGTTGTCCACCACCTTGGACCTATTTGGTTCTAATCAGTTTATGTCATATCCTTGGTCTATATTATTCTTTTAAAGGTCTTGCCCTGCCCCCTTCCCTCCTGTTTCAAAACTGTAGTTCGACTCTTTGCGACCCCATGAACTATAGAGTCCGTGGAATTCTCCAGGCCAGAATACTGAAGTGGGTAGCCTTTCCCTTCTCCAGGGGATCTTCCCAACCGAGGGATCAAACCCAGGCCTCTCGCATTGCTGGCAGATTCTTTACCAGCTGAGCCACAAGGGAAGCTGAAGAATACTGGAGGGGGTAGCCTGTCCCTTCTCCAGCAGATCTTCCCGACCCAGGAATTGAACTGGGGTCTCCTGCATTGCAGGCGGGTTCTTTACCAACTGAGCTATCGGGGAATTACGATGTATAAAATAAATAAGCCACAAGGATGACTGTATAGCACAGAGAATACAGCCATGGTTCCTCCATCAGGGATCGAACCAGCATCCCCTGTGTTGGAACAAGGATTCGTAACCACTGGGTCACCAAGAAGTCCCAAAGCAAAATTCTCTTTAGTGGGTGGGACTGGGGAACCGTTAATAAGTCTTGCACCACCAGGCACACAATTGTAATTAAGTTCTCCTTCCCCCTACCTGCCACAAGGACTGTGGTTTTAACACTTTCTGTGGTGGTGGTTTAGTTGCTCAGTCGTGTCCGACTCTTTCGACCCTATGACCTATAGCCTGCCAGGCTTCTCTGTCCATGGGATTCACCAGGCAAGAATACTGGAGTGGGTTGCCATTTCCTTCTCCAGGGGATCTTCTCGACCCAGGAACTGAGCCCAGGTCTCCTGCATTGCAGGCAGATTCTTTACCAACTGAACTACAAGGGAAGCCTAACACTTTAGTCTTGCTGATTTTCCCTCACATTGTGACATCGTGAAGGAAATCCCTGCAATCCGCTCAGGGAGCACCAGCCTGAGCACCACTCCCTCGAAAAGGCCATCGCCTGGCTGCTTCTCAATTCTGAATCAGGCAATCACTATGTCAAACAGTTTCACTTTTTATTTTCTCCAGCACTTGATGTTATAACTGTTTTAAAGCCTTGAGTCTTCTTTCCATAAGACCGTTAGCTCCTTGAGATCAGGGACCTCAAAAACTTATAAGGAGCACCCAGGGATACTCAGAAGTCATCTTCCTCTATTATTAGCTCATGACAAGAAAAACAGACCATTTCTACTCCAAAGGCCTTGATGGAAATCTCCAGATACCCCTGCCAAGTCTTTTGCATCAATTCCCTGCCAAGTCATTTTTAAGAACTTCTTGATAAAGGGCAAAGGGAACCCTTTAAAAAATATATGTATTTATGGCTTTTGTGGTAGATAATATATTCATATGGCTCAAAACTTAAAATGAAGTCAGCTGCCTACCTTTGTTTCTCAACCACTCAGCTCCCCTGCTGCGAGGCAAACAATGGACTGAATTCTTGTTTTTCAATAGGTATTCTAGCAAATAGATCCTCATTTTCTCTCATTTTTTTTTTTTAATACACAAGTTAACATGCAATATATATTGCTCTCCATCCTGCGTTTTGTTTAATAATGTATCTCAGACATCTTCCAGGTCAAACCTAAAGAGCTTCCTCACTGTGGCTGTGCAATGTTCCCGTGCAAGGATGACCCTGATTTATTAAACCAACCAACCTTTTAAAAAATGCACTTGTTTACTTGGCTGCGTCAGGTCTCAGTCGCAGCATGCAGGGTCTTCTGTTGCGGTTCCTGGACTCTCCAGTTGTGGCACACGGGCTCAGCAGTTGCAGCACTCCGGCTTCAGTTGCCCCACGGCATGTGGGATCTCACTTCCCTGACCAGGGACCGATAACCACGTCCCCTGCATTGCAAGGCAGGTTCTTAACTGCTCGACCACTAGGTAAGCCCCACATTAACCAACCTCAGTTGTTAGATGTGAGTGTTTCCAGTCCTTTACTGCCATATGCAATGCTTCCGTAATAGACTTGTTCAGACAAAACGTCACACTGAAATCAGAGTTTTCAGAATTGAGAGGCGCCAGGCGATGCCTTTGGGAGGGAGTGGCACTCAGGCTGGTGCTCCCTGGAGGGCCAGCATACCAAGAACAGGGGCAGAGGGTGGAGACACGCTGCCACGTGCTGATTTGGGCACCTGGATGGGGTCCTGGACTCTGCATGCTGGGGGGGTCAGGAGCTGTACAGCGGGGCAGCCTCATGGTGAGTGTGGAGTATGATAAACATCTGCTGCATGCTACATGCAGGACAGACTGGAGACTTGAGAAGCTGGAGCCGGGGAGAAAGCCAGGGGCTAAGTCAGGGAAGCTAGGCTACAGTGAAGGCCTCCGCCACACCCGTGGCTCTGGAAAGAGAGGGGATTTCTAACTGAAATGAGGTTTTTCAACTTACTAGGTTGGTGAGGGCAAGGAAATGGCACCCTCATACTTTGCTGGTAGGAGTGTAAATGAATATAACCTCTTTGGAGATCTTCCCAACCCAGGGATTGAACCCAGTCTCTTGTGTCTCCTGCATTGGCAGGTGGATTCCTTACCACTGTGCCACCTGGGAACCTTGCCTTTGGGCTACTGCTAGGTGGAACTGTTTTTGTGTAGTCAAATTTATCAGTCTTTGCTTTTATGGCTCCTAGGTTGGGTGCCAAAGGAGCAAGACAGCCCCTCCTTCATCCCCCTCCAGCCCCCAACACACAGCTTTTAAAAATTCTGCCTGTACAAAAAGCTTGGAATGACTTGCCAGGTTTTTTGAGGAACAGGACAACTCCTGCCTTCCAGGAGACCCCAGTTTCAGGGAGACACAGACTGACTACTGCAATTCCATAGTATAATAAACAAGACGGGGCACAATGGGAACCTGGGCTAGGACTACCTCATCCTGCCTGAGTTGGCCAGGCAAGGCTTTCCAAAGGCAGTGGCATCCAGGTAAATCTGGAAGTGTGCGGGAAGCAGCCAGGAGAATGGTCTTCCAGTAAAAGTGGAAAAGCATATGCAAAGGCAAGAAGCAACAGGGCTCAGCCAAGGTTGTCCAGTCTGGCAAGAAGACAGGGAGCCCCGCAGGGTTGGTGTGTTGTAGGGGCAGAGCTAGGAAGTAGACAGGGGCCAGATCACAGAGGGACACATCAGCCGTGTGGAGGATGAGCTGGAGTCGGTCCAGAGTGGAGGCAGGGCCTTGGAGGCTTCCACCTCTTGCCCAGCAGCAGCCATGGCAGCCTAGAGAGACTCCAAACAACAGCAAGAATTTCAGACCAAATGTTCTATTCTGCCAAGCTTCCAGAATTCTATAAAAATCATCAGCGAAGCTAGCACCTTCTCTGAGAAACATGTCGACCCAAGATGATGACAACTTCAAGAGCTTTTTCCTGGGGAAGGCGGTGGTTGTCACTCCCACCTCAGCACCCCGCTGGCAGATGGGGTAAATGTAGCCAGGGCCCTAACTGCCCTCTCCTCTGCTCCAGCGTGGCTCAGGGAGCAGGTGGGCTCTCCAGCCCTTGCCCATTCATCCAGATCCTCATTCCTTCAGAACGCAGGAATGCCACGATGGAGTGGTGGACTTCTCACTGGCCCACGTCCCTGGAACATCTCTTTCCTTCCAGTCAACACGGCTCAGTCCTGCTCTGAGCAGACAGGCCTATGAATTTCTCTACTCCTGTGACATTTTAAAACAGGCATCTTGTAGCAGGTTTCCTGAGCAACTGTCCTCCCTAAAGTGCTCAGCACAGAGCCTTGTACATAGCAAGCATGCTGCAGCACTTTCTGTTAAAACCAGAAGTCTTAGGGGACGTCCTTCGTGGTCCAGTGCTTAAGGCTCCGAGCTTCCGACGCAGGGGGCGTGGGTTCCATCCCTGGTTGGTGAACTAAGATTCCACATGCTGTATGCAGCGTGGACAAAAAGATCTTTTTAAAAACTGGAAGTCTCACCATTCATTAGGAAGTTGCTGAGGGAAAGGAAGGGTGATGTGGACAGAAGGAAGTTGGACGCAGAACTTTGGGACCGCATCCAGATTTCAGTTATCCAGAGCCTCTCCATGCCTGACCCCCAACCCAGCAAAAGAAGTTGGTTCTTTTCTTTAGTGCCCTAAGGCAATTTTATCCCGAAGGATCACTTGGTGAAGTGCTACAGAGATAAAGGCTCTTGGAGGCTGCTGGAGGCAGCCCTGGTTACCACCAGCAGGCCTCCTGTTGCCCAGTTGCTCAATTGTGTCTGACTCTTTGCAACCCCATGGACTGCAGTACACCAGGCTTCCCTGTCCGCCATCTCCCAGAGTCTCCCAGAGCTTGCTCAAACTCATGTCCATTGAGTCGGTGGTGCCATCCAACCATTTTATTGTCTATCGTCCCCTTCTCCTCCTGCCCGCAATCTTTCCCAGCATCAGGGTCTTTTCCAATGAGCCCGCGCTTCGAATCAGGTGGTCAAAGTATTGGAGCTTCAGCTTCAGTATCAGTCCTTTCAGTGAATATTCAGGGTTGATTTCCTTTAGGATGGACTGGTTTGATCTCCTTGCAGTCCAAGGCACTCTCAAGAGTATTCTCCAACACCACATTTCTAAAGCATCGATTTTTTGGTGCTCAGCCTTCTTTATGGTCCAACTTGGGGCCCTCCCAAGGCATTTCTACCCTTCAGAGGTCTGAGGGCATGCAGGGGGATACTCACTCACACCAGCCTGGAAGGCAAGAAGGCCAAAAGCCAGCCCCAACCTCAGCTCCAGTCAAACAAGCTCCTCCCCATGCAGCCAGCAGACAACAGTGGGTCAAAGGCAGGGGTAGCAGAGGGCTCCTGGGGCAGAGCTTGTTATCTCTGGAGTATGCTGCTGCGGAGGCAGGCACAGACACTGAGGCCCCATCTCAGGCACAGCAAAGCTCATGAGGATGACACCAGGAAGCAAGGGGCCTGGGTTCCAGGGCAGGTTCCAACCCTGCTGGCTGTGTGCCTGTCACTTATATAAAGTGCACATCAGCTTACGGTCCATGATTTTGTTTTTCCCAAAATGACACAGTCTATTTCAGTAAACATTAGAAAAGCTCACTGGTATGAATACGTATCCAGTTGTAACTTCCATTTTATCTGACATTTACTATGTGAGAGGCAGTGAAAGTATTAGTCACTTTAGTCATGTCCAACTCTTTGCAACCCCATGGACTGTAGCCCACTAGGCTCCTCTGTCCAGAGGACTCTCCAGGCAAGAATACTAGAGTGGGTTGCCATGCCCTCCTCCAGGGTGAGAGGCAATAGGGTGGGCATTTTATACACATTATCTTATTAAGTCCTCTCAACAACTCCATGAGGGTAGGATAATACAGATGAGGAAAGTGAGGGTCAGAAAGGCTTAGCCCCAAGCTGAGGTCCCACCGCTGGCACGCAGCAGAGCTGGGATCGGAATGAGAGCTGTCTGGCTTCAGAGTCCTTTGCCCCAAACCACCAAATGATGTGAGGACTAAGGAGTGCTGGTCAGTTGCCAGCCTAGACCCTTCCCCAGTCTCTGACCTCTAAAACCACAGACAGGCTGCCAAGGAAGGACAGTCTCTCAGAAGGTCACTTTTCTTTATTCTCAGCCTCAATCTCAGAGCATGGTCTGCAGGAAATCTCAAGGTCTGGCCAACTCGCAGGCCTCCCTGTGCCCACTGAGGAGCTAAAACTCCACAGGCCCGGGGTCTCCAGCTGATGCTGTGGTGCTCTCTAGTCGCTCCTTCTAAAGGCAGGTCCTGGGCACGAGGTCGGATTAGGTTTCTCGGTCACTCCTAGGCCCCCTTCCCAGGGCACAGGCACACTTCTGCAGCTTGTCCTCTGGCTTGCTGGGCCCACCCCAGGAAAAGGTGGAGAGGAACTCAGGAAAGCGGGTGTCTCCTGGTTCGAAGAAGCTGGGACCTGGGCCTTTGATCTACCTTGACCTGGGGCAGGTCATGGCCCTCGGGAGGCTCCAGAGCAGGCCCAGGCCAGACCACTACTTGGCGAAAGCAGAAGTCTTCACCATATTTTGGCAAAGTCCACTTTCTTCACCGACTTGGCCTGAAAACACCTCCTGAGTTCAGAGGGACACGGGGGACAGAAATCCTGGGCTCAACTCTGCTGGGAGCCGCCGTGCTGGGAGAGGACTTCTTTCACTTTATCCACAATGGTGCCCACCTCAGCCATGGCCCCCAGACCTAGGGAGCAGAGTTCTTCTGTGGCCCTGCAGACCGGGGCAGCGGACCATCTCCCACTCACCCCTGCCCAGAGCTCCCCAAGTGTGCCACCCAGAGCCCAGGACCTGAGAACGCCAGGACCAAGCCAGAGCCAGATCCATTGAGTCCCATCAGAGACACCCCGCCCAGGACAGGCCCCAGAAATGGTTACAGCAACCACCTTGAACTGTTTGGGCTGCATGCCAGGGAGGATACTGGGCACATTACCTAATAACTCCAAGAGGGAGGAATTACCACTTCCATTTCCCAGGTGAAAGAGCTGAGCTGGAGGTCACAATAGGCCGGGATCTGAGGCTGCAGGAATGAGCTGTAAGCCTGGCCAGACACCCACCTTGGTCTCCACAGACCAGCTTCTTGGCCACACAGGGGATCTCGATGTAGCCGAAGGCCTTGAGCTGGCCCACCTGCTGCTCAGTGATGGGGTGCTCCCACATGGCGGTGTTCATCGCCGGGCAGAAGAGCAGGGGTTTGCTGCGGTCCCAGGCCCGGATGACACAGGTCTGTGAAGAAGGAGGGGCGTGCCTGCTGCTCTGCCTGCCACCCCTCCCCAGACTTCCCAAATGTTACCCACCGCTTCCGGGCCACAGCCAGCCGTGGGCCTGGGGTGACTGGGGAGCACTGTCTGCTGTCTCATTACTTCGAGGATGTGTCTCTGGGTCCTTCTCACCTCCCCCCAGGCTCTGACACAGGGCCTGACATATAGGAGCTGCTCCACTAATGCTGGCCATGGCCCAGGCACCTCCAAGCATACCTCCACTTCTGTGTAGAGAGGGCTCCCGGTGCCCAAGCATCTGTCTTCCCTATAGCCAGCCACACCTCGCAGTGGCTCTCGCAAAGCTGAGGACCAGGCTGCCCGGCGGGTGGGCCCATCTACCCCACACTAGCTCTACTTGAGGCCAACTAAAGCGTGGCCATGAGAACAGCTTCCACGGGACCAAACCCTCTCCCATGTGTTATCTCATGAGCCCGCACTGTGACCCTGTAAAGAAGCTGCTGATCCATTTCACCGAGGGGAAGTTGCACTTCCAGGAGGTGAGCCATTACCCAAGGTGACACCCAGACAATGATCCGGGGTGAGGCTTTACATAACACCCATTCTGTCTTCCACTGTGCTGTGTAGTTTCACTACCTCCTGGTGTCAGGCCCCTCCAAGTAAATACCAGAGCAGCTATGGAAAGGACAGACCAGCTCACAGAGTCTTCAGCACTGTGAGCTTTGCAATCACATGGACCTGGGTTCAAATCTTGCTGTGCTCTCTGCTGTGACTAGCTATGAGAACTTAAACAAGTCCTTTCATGACAGGAGTCTGGGGTTCCTCTCTGCAAAAGCCCTCCCTGGGTGGTCGTGGGATGGAGGGTGAGAATGCTTATAAAGCTCTTTGCACAGGCCTGGCACAAACACAGGCTCCAGAAATAGTAGGTCCTGTTATTATTACAGACAGGCTCCCTGGGCCAGAGGCTGCCTCGGAGGGAAATAAGCTCTGGGGCACACAGTGGTGTACTCCCCTGGGCTCTGACCGCTCCAGGCACCTCTGACTGGGCTGTGGGCCCCTCAGGGAGCCAGTGGTGGGCACACCCCTTCCCTGAAGGGGAGCCTGTCTGGGAATAGAGGGGGAGTCCAGAGAACAATGCCACGGACGGGCCAGGGAAAATGCCTGCCCTCCTCAGGGCCCCTGCACTCTCCTGTGACAGGAAGGAAGCGGGTCAGCACATAGCCTCAGGCCCTGGCTGCTCGCGTCATCTCAGACACAGCGCTTGTTTCCCCACCAAGTCCTCGCGGTGAGGCAACCCGGCTGTGAGTGGACAGTTTCAGTCCTCACTTCCTCTTGGCCCCGTGCCACCTGCTGCTTCTGCAGAAGCCGTGAGCATACCTAGAGGAGTCCCCTGACTCCGTGTGAGGTGGGTGGTGGCAGGGCTGGGATTTCTAAATGTCCTCAAAGCAAAGTACACCCACCAGAACACAAACTCAACCCCTGTGTGCCCCACATGTCTCCAGTTTTTCCCATCTCATCACAAAGCTCAGCACTTCCCGGACAAACCACAACTCCTCCAAACCTTCTGGCAGCAGGAGGACTGAAAGGAGGCATCAGTTGCCATGGTCATTTCTGTTTGGCCAATGCTGTATGTAGCACCTCAGGCTCTGCCCCTGGGAATCCGCTTGGGCAGAGAGAAGGCCTGGATCTGGGATAGGAGACCAGCTGCCAACTGGACGGGTGACCCAGGCAAGTTATCTCCTCTTTCTGGATCTGCTTGGTTATTTAGCACAAAGAAGGGCCAGAGCCTGAGTGGGCCAGAGGGCAGAGAGAGATGCACGTCACCCAGGCCCAGGGCCCAGAGACTGGGAACGTAGGTTCATACCTAGCACACGGCTCCAGTGCACCCCAAGACCTGGACAGTGTGCACCCCAGTGTCAGGGAGAAGGTCTGAAGGAGGGGGGAAGCAGGGCAAGCTCCTTCAGTAGGATATAAGGAATAAACATCTTTCGAGAGAGGACAGAGCCACAGACCATGATGACAACAGCTTAAACTTTGTAGGATTTGTGGTTCTTTGAAATACTTGCACCTTCAAGTGAAACCTTTGAGGCACAGGGCCTCAGGCCTGGTGTTGGGAACATATTCTACTGCTCAGCCAACTCAGTAGGAGGGAACTCCAAAGATTTCAGGGAGCTCTGGCAGCTCTGAAGAAAAGAGGAAAGCAGAGCTTTCAGGAGCGAGCAAGGAGCTCTCAGAGTCGGCCCAGGCCGGGGCTTAGCTCCTAGAGGTCAGCGTGCCTTGTCACATCAGCTGGCTGCTGACCAGCCAGGGGAAAGCCTGGGCATTTGGTGAGATGGTGCTGATTACACACAGCGCTGACGCACTTAGATGAAAGTGACCAGCAGCCTGACCCGTCCTGATGTCCTGTCAGCCAGGCAGCAGCCCCACCGGGAGGCGTTCGTGACAACGCGGCCCAAGCCCGCCCTCCTCGGCACTCCCCCACCCCTGCTCCTGCTACACGATCTGTGTGTTGCTCTACTTCTGATCACCCGTGCTCTGATTCAAATGATGCTTAAATCACTAGCAGCTTCTTTGAGAAATACCTTAAGCACCCATCAACAAGCAAACAGAGAGACTAACCCCCTGTCTAACCCCCAAAATCTCGACCCAGGTTCGTTAGTGACTTCATCACATCAAACTGAAAAAACCTTCTGCTGTTAGCTGAAGTAAAATTACTGATTACCTCATACATGCAATAAGCCTTTACTGAATGCCTACTGTATGCCCAATACTGTGCAACATGGTGATTCCACTGTCAAAGGACTGACATACCACATACCAGAGCAGAGGCCAAAAACCCTCTCCTTCCAGACGGTCAGCGCCCTGTGTCCTGCGTGTGTGTCCACACAGGGCCTGGTCCCTGGCAGGTGACAGCTGGATGAATGAGGGAAGGGGGGTGATAGGAAAGAGGTGGGAAGGACAGGGAACACACCCAGTGTGCTCACGTAAACCAAGGCTCCTGAAGAACAGCAGCTCCCTGGAGGTCCCTCAGGCCGAAGACGATCCCCCCTCTACAGCTGGACTTGGCTTCCTCTCCTCCGCCTCGAGCCTCTTGCCCCGTCTCCTTTCGTCCCCTTTAATCCACAATCTAGGGAAGCTACTGCTCAGCCTTGTGGTTAAAAGTACAGGAGAGGTAAGTGTGCCTGGGAAACCCATGAGGAGGTAAACACTCTTATCCGTTTGCCCTGTGGAGGTCCAGGTCCTAGTGGGAAGGCAGAGCTAATGGGGACCGGCCACAGAGCCGGGCAGGGAGGCCAGCAGGAAGCTAGCAGGAGGGCAGCCCATGGACATGAGCGCCCAGGGGCCTGAGAGGCGGACACCTCAGAGGGCACTCGCGAGTCGAGTCCACCCATCGGGACCCAGGCCATCTGGCCACCTGCTGGAGCACAGGTGACGCCGGGTGGACGGTGGTCCAGGGGACTGTGTTCTGAGCAAACCCGCCCACCACACAGGGATCCCCAGGTGAGAAGACTGTCCAGAAGAAGCCTGCAGCCCGCATACAGTGAGCACAGCCCTGGGAGGGAGGCAGGCCCAGCGAGTCACTCACAAGCAAGTTGTCACAGATGCCACTGGCCACCTTCCCCAGAGTGTTGGCATCGAGAGGCGCCACCAGCATAAGGTCCGCCCACCTCCGCAGGTCGATGTGGAGAACCGGGTCAGATCGGCACTTCCACATCTGGCAGAGCGAAGGTAAGCGGGGTCACTGGGCCGGCCACTCTCAGGGTGGAGGGAGGAGGGGCCGGAGCGGTCTGAGGGTCACCACAGACACGGGACACTGAGTCAGGGACCCAAGGGAGACCACCCGAATGCCCCCCACCCCAGTTCCCTGCCACCCCTTTTGCAGCTACGCTGGTGAACCCTGACTGTGGCACCAACGGCCTGAGAGAAACCAGGCCTGAGGAAACAAACGCTCCTTGTGTCTCTGAGCTATTCCCTTTATGGTTTGGTTTTCAAGAGAACTGACATCTGGCAGGGAAGTCCTGGCCTGTCTGCTTGAGGCGGATGCTTGGATTGTCCGAGCCAGTGGAAAGGCTCTGGGTGGTGAGAAAAGGAGGGGGCGGGGTGGAGGAGACGGGCCAGCCAGAAATGTTCTAGGCTGAGAATGTTTAAAAATGCCTGGCAGGGCACCCCTGTGGGGCCCACACTCGATGTCTGGTGAATCGGCCAGAGCCCGCCCCGGCGCGGGAGAGCAGCAGGGGAGCCCGGCAGCCGTGGGAAGTGAGGCGTTCCCGGCGGCCCCGACGCTGGGAGCCACGTGGATGAGGGTGGTGGGAACAGGGCTCCTCTGTGGTTTCATCAGCCCAGATAAGTACAAGGACACTCAACCCCGGGCACGGGGCCAAAGCTGAGCTCTGCCTGGGGTGGGAGGAGACTGTGGGCCTCCTGCAGGCCAGAAGCTAGACAGATGTTTTCCTCATCGCCTCTGCCAAGAGGCCCTGACCGCGAAGTTGAGCCTAGCCTGTCTGCTCTGGCCGCCAGGACCATAGGCTGCAGGGAGGACTGTCCTGTCCCGCTGATACAGACATGAGGGAACCCAGCCCAGGGGCCCAGCACTGACCTCCCATTCATCAGCATCGCTGTAGAGGGTGACAGGAACATCCTGGGAGCTGTAAAAATGTTTGGCCCTCTCAGTTGTGACCACGGCTACTTTCAGCTGTCACCAAGAAAAGTGGGGGGGGGGGGGGGGGAGAAGGAAAGAGAAACCGTTACCAGAGCCCCCAGCCTGGAGCCACATGGGGCCAGGCCAGGCCAGGTGACAGCTTTCTTCACAGCCTGGCTGCGCAGAGGGCTTCTCCCTTGGAGGCAGTGAGCCCTGCGTTTGCACAGTTACTTCCGCTGTCACCCAAAGGTCAAGCCTCACCAGGTGCAGCCGTTTCACTTCCCCACCGGAGGGGCTGCAGAGGAATGAGTCACACAACTGTCCAGCGTATATAAAGCTGCAGGCTCCAGCCACTCCGGCAGGGACAGACCAGGGCAAGCAGGAGGGGCGCCCCCCCAGGAGGTTCCCAGGTCCTGAGCTCTGGGCTACACCACAGGTCTGCCCTCTGCAGGCCAAGGCACTAGGGAGCCTGCACGTGGTGTCTGCAGCCACAGCCCGGTGAGCAGGAAAGCAGAGTCCCTCCCAGGACTTCTAGGAACAGGCTTCATGGGCTCTGGCTGCAGACAGGCTCCAGGAAAACCAAACCTGAGTGTCTGACACTCACGGGCCAAGAGTGAGGGTTACCCTCAAATTATTCATTTAGTAGATAAATTAATAATGCAAATAAGGGGGATGGCTAACAGAACAGAAATAGCACATGATAGTGTGAATGACACCAGGCCCATTTCCATGATTGGTAAACTGAGATGCTAGACTAACAAGCAGACAGAGGAAAGGGGCCCAGAAGAGGTGGCTAAGAGGGGAGGGGTGTAGGAAATGACATCTTTGGGGGACATTTATCCAGGAGGGAAAAAAGTTAAGGGTGACAAGGACAGAACTGACTAACCAGGGGGATCACTGGGGACAGTGTCGGGACCAGAGGTGCTATACTGCTTTGATATTGCTATTCAGTCACTAAGTCATGTCTGACTCTGCAATCCCATGAACTGCAGCACTCCAGGCTTCCCCGTCCTCCACTCTCTCCTGAAGTTTGCTCGAGTTCATGTCTATTGAGTCAGTGATGCTACCCAACCATCTCATCCTCTGTTGCCCCCTTCTCCTCCTGCCTTCAATCTTTCCCAGCATCAGGTCTTTTCCAGTGAGTCAGCTGTTTGCATCAGGTGGCCAAAGAATTGGAGCTTTAGCATCAGTCCTTCCAATGAATATTCAAGGTTGATTTTCTTTGGGATTAACTGATTTGATCCCCTTGCAATCAAAGGGACTCTCAAGAGTCTTCTCCATGTGGCCTACATGGGGGTTATAAACATTTCTAAGCCAAAAAATATTAGGTTTGCCCAAAAGTTCGTTTGAGTTCTTCTGTAAGATGTTATGGGAGATTTCACATAGAAAATCCAATTTTCTGGTTTCTCTCAAAAACCCAAGAGCTCTGGCACTGCAGGGGCCACACTGTTGCTTGATTTGAGTTGGTGGTGCTGGGTAACAGCTGCCTTCTTGGATGGGGTGTGCCCGTGCCATCCCCACCTAGTCCCTGCCCCTCCCTATCATCTTGCCAAGGCTCCCTCCCCTCATTTGTTTCCCACCTTTTGTGGGTTGCAGGACACCGTTATGCACGGCATCTGAGAGTGAAGCTGGAAGCAGGGAGTAGAAGTCTCAGAGGCAGACGGTGGAAGAGCTTCAGAAGGTCTGGGGCTCCCAGCCCTGCGGCAGAGCTCGCAGAGCTCCATCCTCCCGCTCCCTTCTCCTTGGAACCCACCAGCCCCCAAACATGCATAGAACCTCCTGCTCCTGCTGAGCAGGGGAGTCCCTCCCAGGAGAGCCCTGAAGGAGCCAGCCCAGTTCCAAGCAAGGTGGCAAAGGAAATGGGCTGCTGTCCCCGCACAGAATCCGCCCTGAAGATGTCACAGGACCAGCGCAGGTGAAGAGAGCGGAGAAAGGCAGGATGGTGCTGAGACTCTTAAGACCCAAGACAGTAATGAGGTAAGGTATGGGGCCAAATAAGTGAGAAGGAGCCACAAGAATATATAACTTTCAAACCAGCAGAAGAAAATTCAATCTACACAATAAAGGAAAGGGAAAGGAAAAAAAAAAAAAGCAGAGAGAATACATGATAAGTAGAAAGCATTAAATTAGATGGAAGAAGTAAGTCCTAATAGAATAGCAATTATAGTAATTAAATAATTGACTAAACTCCCTGATCAAGATTCAGACTCTTATACTGAATGTTTTAAAATCCATCAATCACATCAAAATGTCTTAAAAGGCACACTTAAAAAGATATATAAAGCTTAAATAAAAGAATAAACTTGCAATTAGATAAAGTGGATTAAACTGTTTCCTCTCAAAGGCCCACTGAAATAAAAGTAAAGCGATTTTTTTAAAAGGTATGAACACCCAGAACAAAGAGAAGAGGACAAAAACAAAACCCCAGCAGTTAAGATATGCTAACACATAATATATGGAAATGGAAGGAGGCATTAACAGATCAGATCAGACAGGACCAGATGCTTTTTTTTTTAAAAATGAACATTCAGTGAACAAAAAAGAACTCTTGGAAATTAAAAGTACAAATAATCAAAGAAAAAATTCAATGTAAGTTTAGAAGAAATTTTTCAAAAAGTAGAACAGAAAGATAAGGAGATGGATAATAGAATTAAAAAAAAAAAGAAGAGGAGAAAATCAGAAGACCAACTTAAGAGGTCCAAAATCTGACTAATAATGAGTTCCTGAAGGGGAGATCAGTAAAATAAGAGGAGTGAAAATTACCAGAGAAATAAAATTAAATTTCCCCAAACTGAAGAACTTTGAGGCTGGAACCATCTGCTCTGCCCACAGGGCTCTGAGAAGGTGGCACGCGGTTAGGCTCAAGGAGCCTGGAGTATCATGTCCCGGCCCCCACTGAGGGTGGGTCAGAGGAGCCTGAGCCCACACCTGCTTCTCTGGAAGCCGCATCCTCCTGTATTGACGTACACAGGGTTTGCAATCAGCAAAACCTCAGGAGTTCTTCTCCCCCATGTTGCTGCTAAACCACAAGCCCCAGACTCTACCTGCACTGTTACTTTCCCAAAAGTAGTCCCTCACATTCCCCTGGTGAATTCCACCTTTCCAGAGCGGGCCCACTGTTTTTTGCTCGGTTGTGAAGAGCTCCTAAACTCTCAGTCCTGTTCCCCCTGGCCTGTCCTCTGCCAGTACCACCGTCAATAGTCCCAAGACACAAATCCAAATCACGAAAAGAACAAGGTCAAGAGCAGAGGCCTTCCCCAAGGTCCATACGGGGTTTGGGGTGGGAAAGAATCACGAATGAACCCTGGGCTTCCCTGGAGGTGCAGTGGACAAGGATCTGTCTGCCAATGCAGGGGACATGGGTTTGATCCCCGGTCCAGTAAGATTTAGCATGACTTGGAGTAACTAAGCCCCTGCACCACAAGTATTGAGCTCATGTTCTGCAACTATTGAAGCTGGTGCACCTAAAGAGGCCAAGGCAACTGCGCACTGCAACTAGAAAGTAGCCCCTGCTTACCTCAACTGGAGAAAAGTTCACGTGCAGCAACCAAGACCCAGAAGAGCCAAAAATAATAATAAAATAAATTAAATTTTTAAAAAAGAGAATGAACTTTTCCAAGTAGGACCTGTAGGTCACCAACCACAACCTCAGCACACCAGGACAAAACTTGTCCAGTTCAGGATATGAATCACCCAAATTGGGTCAAATCTCTTCTACTACCATTTATTCTTTTTCAAGTTCAAAAGAAAAAACTGGAAACAAAGTAGGACTCAAGAATCCCCCACCCCACCCCAGGTTATACTACTGGCCTCTCGGACCAGGCGTTGTTTCATTGTTTTTTCCAAATATGTGTATCAGTCACCTCCATCACCCTGAGATTTCACTGCAAGCTTCAGGTCACTCTGGTGACTTCTGGACCATATTCTTGCTTCATCTTTGGTTATATGTCCTCCTTTCCATTTAACTGCTTTCCCATTTCCTTCTACAGAGGGCTTCCCTGGTAACTGTATCAGCTTCTGGTCACTGCCTTCTTTTCCTTAGGGGACTAGTTTCTTTTATTTCTAAGAACTTCCTGACTATCCTGGATAGTTTGCCTCTTAAGATCACCCCGACTCATTCTCTCTATTCTGAAATCTGAAAAGCTGCTTCCTGAAGAGCTAGTTTCCCTGCTCTCCCCTCTCTCCTAACTCTGCCCTGCTCTCCCCAGGCTCTCCAAACAGCCTGCCAGTTCTCAAAATGAGGACTGTGCCTATGGCCAGCCTTCAGAAACATCCCCAGTTTGGTGATGGCCCTGTTCGGGGCTCCCTCCTGCCTGTCAGCTCTACCCTTCACTTCCCTCTATATGCCCCTCTCCGTCTCCCCCGGCTCCTGGAGGAGTTCCAACCAGGGGTCCAGGTAGGACTCCCACCCTGGTCCACTGCCGCTACTTGAGGTCTTTCCTTTAAGGTCCTCCCTAGTTTCTCTGGCTACTCTCCCAGGTTACACAGTCATTGTTAGGGAGCTTCTTGGGGTCAATGTCTTTATACGAGTTATGTGAAGAGTATGTGATGACCATCATTCCCAACGGCCCTCCCTTGACCCCTATAAAGCAGCCACCTCTCCTTGGCAGTGACCCTGACCCCAGTGTTGTCTGGCAGGCCCAGGCTAGTTTTTCTGGTTTTAGAGGGATGTCACTTGATATGATTCTTCAGTCCCATGGGCTTTGTTCTTTCATTTTCATTCACTCTGTAAAAAGGTCCTGGGAGCCAAGAGCTAGGCCCTGGGTTTCCACACATTTTTTTCTTTTTTTTTCTTCTCAAAAAAGGCAGGTCATGTTACCTTCTGAGATACTAAATAACTTGGACTATTCATTCATTCACCTTGACCTTTCCCTCAGCAAATACTAAGGAGTCTTGGCAGAGCAGAAAACTCCTAAGGACAGGAACCCTCCCTGGCTTCCTCTTATACCCTTCTGGGTCCTGGGATAAGCAGGGCTGGACATTAAAACAGTCTCTCACACACTTCAGAGTTCCTGAAAGGCAGCTCTGTGCTTGGCCCCCTGATGACACCCCTG